TTTTTTTTTGCCAGCTTTTAATTACTTCATTTGTCACTTGTGTGATCATTGGGGTTATCATTCATTTAGCATGTAGTAGCTAGTCAGTTTTACCGTGGATTCATTAGATAACTCGATTTATGGAGTCATTCACACTTATTCGTCAATATTGTATTGACACGTGTCCTTCTTTGCAGGAAGGAAAAAATGACAGAAATTAGAGTTCTAGTTTAATTGATTTGCCCGCTTGTGATTCAATTTATTCGAATTGCATACATAGAATCACATAACTCGACTTATGGAGTCATTCACACTTATTCGTCAATATAGTATTGACATGTGTCTTACAATAAATACAATTTGGACATGTGTCAATACGTTAAGTGGTGAATTATTCCATAATAAAACCATCCGAAGACTCCATAGAATTTTTCAGTAGCTAGTTTGCTTGGTTTATAAAATTTTTTGAAAAAAAAAGGACCGATTTGTAAATATTTTGGTTAGATGTCCAGACTGTGGCAGGATAAATTGACGACCAACTTGATAGTAATTTTGACCGAATATTCCAATTGGGTTTAGAAATTTAATAAGACACGTGCATGCGTGTCAGTTTTAATAAGAATAAATTTTATACGGAATTTTTCGATCAAAAAATTGCATGTTATGTACACATGCATCCTTAAATTTCCAACCAATATTGACCTTAAATTTATTAAATTAAAAACAAAAATGGCCAGAATTGTTGTCTAAAAGGTCAGTTCTTTTTTTTTTTAAAAAAAAATAAAAAATAAAAAAGTTGGCCAAAAAAAAAATGTTTTGTACCGTAGCTTCATGAAATTCATATTCTTAGACGGAAGTATGTTGATTGACATATAGGTTAATCATCAAATTCAAATTTATGTTGAGTGACATAAAGGTTTTTCTATATTATTATTATTATTATTATTATTATTATTATTATTATTATTATTATTATTATTATTATTATTATGGAAGAGTTAAAATCAGAGCTATTGAGACGAGCAGTGCTGTTAAATTAAACGAGTCTGACTCGGTTCGAGTTCGGCTCGGCTCGTTTGATAAACGGGTTGAGCTCGAACTCATTAAAACTCGTTTAGTTAACCAGGGGCGGATCTAGCAAATATGCGAGGAGGTGGGGCCTAATTAGTTCATGAAAAATATAGAGTATTATATAAAAAAAAAAAGGTCTAAGTACAAAAACATACCTTCATAGTTGTTCTTTACGAGTTTTCATGGCCTGATATTACTCCATAATAACATCATTACTAATTTTCAAGAAGATTTCCTTTTCTACATAAACTACTAGCCTATAATTTAACCAATCATCACTCATTCGGTTGCTCAATCTATCCTTGATAAGATTCATTGCGGAAAACACTAGTTGTTGCACCTTGTTGACGAAGCCTTTTTAAAAATATCTCTCCATATCTTATATATAAAAAATAATTTAGAAATTTACAATCAATAAAATTTTCTATTTTGTCATATCACACTTTAAAGAGCTATAAACACCTTAGGATTGAATTTCCAGTTTCTATATAAACATAATATATTTATCATTACCTAAAAAATAAAGTAGAATAATTTTTAATTCCACCAAAAAATATAGGGATTTCGTTACCTTATAAGTCGTTTTCTAGAATAATTGGACAAAAAATTGATAAATTCTTCCCCTCTTTTATCTTTTTTTCCCTCTCCTCTTTCTCTTCTTTTCTCTCTTTTCCTTTGACTCTGTGACTGAATTTGTTTAATATTAATTTTGTTGTTAAATTATTTTTATATTATTATATTAGTATTTAGTTATTTGGGTATTACTTTTTTTTTTTCCTTAATGGGCAAGCCAATTTAATATGAGCTATATATAGATATATTTTTATGGGCTATATATATAGGTAATTTTTGTTATTTTCCAGTATGGGCCTATATATAGATATATTTTTATGGGCTATATATATAGGTAATTTTTGTTATTTTTCCAGTGTGGGCCTATATATAGATATATTTTTATGGGCTATATATATAGGTAATTTTTGTTATTTTTCCAGTGTGGGCCTAGGCCCACACTGGTCCCCATATGCCTACGCCTTTGTAGTTAACAGCTCGGTTCGATAACGCTAAAAAAAAAAAAAAAAAAAATATGTAATTTTTTATAGTTCGGCTCGTTAAAACTCGAGATTGAATCGAACTCGGCTCGTTATGAGTGTTAAACGAGCCGAGCTCGAGCTCGATTTTAGGACAAGGGCACGTGTTGGCATTTGGGAGTATATTTTTCATTTTAGAAAAAAATAGATAAAAAACATTATTTTTTTCTACTATATTTTTTTTTTTTTTGGTATAGGGACTTTCCGGTTTTGCGGATCCACAGGAAAACCGACTAATTCGGAATCGAGCCGGGTAGGACCACAAGAGCGGCAAATCTCTCCCTCAAAGTTTTAACACTACTGTATTCCCAGGCCTCGAGCACGAGACCACTGATTAAGCTGGAAAAGACCCAAACCATCTCATCCAAAACGCTCTTGGGTACTATTTTTCAATTAAGTTCGATTATATTACATAAGAAAGCAATAATTATTACACTTAATGTATTACTACTAATTAAGTGAACCCCAAAACTCTCTCATGTCATCAGTTAATGTATTACTACTAATTAAGTGAACCCCAAAACTCTCTCATGTCATCAGTTAAATCAAACTACCAACTGTAGCAAGCAATTTAAAGTTTTATCAGAAAATGAACATAAATAAAAGATAAAGAAAAGGAGCCCTTGGGATTGGGAGGTCAACAATGATGGGCCATAATATATCCACGGATGGGCCGCTTTGCTTTTATTATGGTCAAAATTGGGGTACATAGTTACACTTATTTAATCACTTTTTACGTTTTCAAATTAAAATGCTATATTTTAAAAAATAGTAGTATAAATAAAAGTACGACGATTTCATAACATAGGTGTGCATTTTATATAAAAGTGTATATGACGAATCGACTCGTTTAACGATTAACAATTTCACACAATAATTTATGTATATAAAAAAAAAACTCGTAAAATTATTCATGTAATAATGCGACATCAACAATAATTGTCATATTAGAAGTAACCCTAATAATGACACTAACAAATTATTATTTCAAAACACAAAAAACAACAAGATATTGTTTTTTTTTTTTTTTTCAATTAAATGGTTGTTATGCATTGCTACTAATTTAATATTACTCTTATGAAGCTCCCATCAATTCAAGTGGGGTGTATATATGGGCACACTTCTCATTTTGCTGACCTCACTTTATACAATATATATTATGAAATTTCAAAATTTTGTTCAATGTTTACATAAGAAAAGAGCTAAAAAAGTAATATAAAATATGACAATGTCACTCATTAAATAATTGGGACAAATAAATAATTAGCAAAATGCCCTCGTCCTTCTGCCATATTTCATTCTTATATCTATTATTGTGGTATGGTTTGGTGTATCCATTTGCTTATTTTATAGAACATTATTACATACATAAAAGTAATAATATAATTTTGACGTTATGGCTACGCAGTCATATGTTTTCGATAAATTAACATACTTTTATATTAAGTTGTCATATGTAAAAAATATTTTAAACAAAAGTATCATTTAATTTTTTTTAAGAAAAAAATATGATTATCTAATCATTATATAGCCAAACAATAAAAAATATGTGATTACACAATCTTGAATTGCTATCATAAGTACTCACTCAATTTTAATAGCTTCCAATCTTGGCTCGAAATCGGCTCGATCTTATTTTATTTTATTTTTATTTCGAAATTTGAGTTGACTTAGGCAGTTGAAAAATTGAGTTTGAGCTACTTGCTATAAGCTACAAAGTTTTTGAAGCATGCATCAATATTGTTTTCTATCATGGTGATGAAATTATCTTTATTCTAGTTAAGGAACACTCACGGCGTGTTTGGATACAAATATATCAGCTCAAAACGGGGTTTTTTGGTTAATTATGGTTAATTTTAAAAAAGTTTATTTTGTTAGTGGAATTTTAAGTCTATATTAAAATAAAATAATTAAAGTTGATTTGATGTAAAAAATACGAGCTAAATAATGTTAAGTTATTGATAATTAAAATTATGTGACTGGATGAATAGTAGTAAATTTAAATTAATGTGACGTGTAAAAATTATTGGTTATTGTTTAATTATATTAATAACATTAAAGATAGCGAGATAATTGAATTAAAATTAAATTAAATTTTAAGCATCAATTGAGTATGGGTCGAAATAATTTATAAATAAACGTATCTTCAGATAGACAAATGGATGAATCACACGATTTTTTGAGCCGGGATGAATATTATGAACTCGAACTTCGACCCGACTCGAATAACATCTCTAGAAACCGAATAATTTATAGTTGAGTGTCAATTTGACCAAGCTTTAAAATGATTTCATTCACATTTTCATCAAGATCTACACTAAGACAATCTTACAAGAAACAAAAATGGAGGGAAAAAAAATATGTGGTTAGTTGGGTGTGATTAAGAAATTTGGAATTATTTTTCATCAATTGATGTATTTTTCCATATCTCTTGGATTTGATTCATTGAAACATATGGGTGCTGTTGGTATGGCTCATATATTGACAAAAGAAAAAGACAGGCTGATGCCTGCGAGCGTAACGAAGCGAACGTAGCGAGGGAAGCGGAGCGACCGAGCGAAGTGAGTATAAATACCTTGTAGGGTTTAAGTAAATTTATACCTTGTAGGGTTTTAGTATAAATACATGGTGTATTGATGTATTTGATACGATTGAGAATAATAAAAGA